GCAGCCATTATAGCTCCGTGTCCGCAATCTACCGCTAAATTAAGCGGAAGCTTAATTGTGGAGCTGCCGACTGACTCAAAGATTACTCGTGATTCAAACTCACGTTATTGTTTCACACATCTTTCGCCATTCTGGTTTCAAGATTCTTGATTAGTGATTGTGATCATCGTCCTACTCGATGCCGACGAATGCACCTTGCTAGAATGGCGAGAGCAAAGCTTCGTGCTTCAGGCGGGCTATCAGCCGACCTCCTCGGTCGCAATCATAAACACATCTCCAGCAGGCGCAATCAAGCTCGACAACAATTACTCACCACTGTCGTGCAGTGCAGAGAGCCGGGATAAAAGTCAAAAGTTGAGGGCTTGGTTCACGAACGGTATGCCGTCAGTCTTGAGTCAAGACCCACGACGTCATGAGCAAGTGCGGTACACGCAATCACACTTGACCCCTGCTGACACCGCCCATCCGCATTTTGATTTGCATGAAATCTCATCGGCGCGTCGCGGTCAACTTTGGCCGTCGCGCCCGCCGCCGCCCACGCATGATCGAGCATCCCGGCCACGATGCCCGACGGACAGTAAGCCCACTCACGGACTTTGGGCGCTGTGGCAATCGCTGGAGGAGGTGTCGACCAAGAACGGTCGCAAACACCAAGCGTGAATGGCCGACTGCCCAACCAATGGCAGCTGTGTAGGAAGGGCCAAAGTGTGTGTGCATGATGCTTGAATGCAGCGAAACGAGCAGCTATTTCGGAGCGTAAAGCTCCTTGTTCTGTAGTCGGGCGAAGCGAGGTACATTTAAGGATGGAGAGATGCTCGTTCGGCACCCCCAGAAACTCATCCCATCATCGACCCATTCCAGATCACTCCTAAGATTAGTCTCTGCGCTGGTCCAAAGCCAGTCCCTGATCGAAGCGCTTAGCCCTCTCTTACCTTTCCTCGAAGCACACTCATCAAGGGCCTCTTCACGATGCCTTTGCCGACCTTCCTCGCCTTAGTCCTAGTGCTAGCATCACTTCTGATCTCGGTAGAGGCTGCCAAGATACCTTTGAGTGCAAGACAACCAGCAACCAGCTGCTCGTCTTCTTCATCATCGTCCTCCTCCTCCTCTTCCAATGGAGAATCGTCTTGGACGACGTCGTCGTCAAGCTCATGCGATCAATGTACCGGCACCTTGCCCAGCACTCTCAAGTACGGCAAAAATCTGCTCGAGTTCCAGTATGAAGATCAACCAAAGAGACAACACATCTTGTACCTTCCCAAGTCGTACGATGGCTTTACCCTCTTGCCCACCGTTCTGGGCTTGCACTACAGCTCAGGCAACATCGATTCCATCGATGCCATGGCCAACCTAAGCGACCTGGCGGAGCGTCACAATTTTGTCTGGATCGCGCCTCAGGGCGGCGTCACGTTCAAGAACAACCAAGGCTACGCTTGGAACATTCCCTTTGTGCCCACCACGGACGACTCGAACATCGAGGGCGCCGTGCTGGAAGACCGCAAATACTTGGTCGCACTGCTCCAGCATGTGCAGAACGATTTGTGCGTCAATACTGCGCAAAGCTACGCCATGGGCCACAGCGGCGGAGGGCGAATGTCGTCTTCGTTGGTGTGCAATCCCGAGATGAGCCAGCACTTTGCAGGCATCGTTGCCAGTTCCAGCCTTCGAGCCGGACCTTCCGCCGGACCGGACTACGCGGCTCCGCTGGCCATTGGTCAGCCCAATGCCTGCAATCCGTCTCATCCGATCGGTGTCGTCGCCCTGCACGGTCTTGCCGATGAAACCAATCCGTACGACGGTACTCCGGAGGATGGCACCGAAGACAACAAGAAGCGTTGGGGCTACTCGGTCCAATCTGCGCTCACGCATTGGGCTGAGTTGGATTCTTGCGACTTGAGCAGCAACACAACAGTCGAGGCTACAATTGCGACTGATGGACCCATCATCCATCAGCAGACTATCAACTGTCCCAATGTCGACATCACTGCGTGGCTTCAGGATGACTGGCCCCACGCTTACTTTGACATCAACAGAGCCGACTTCAACCCAGGCGATCATTGGTGGGACGCCATCTCCAAGTTCTCCCATGAGCCACAGTACTAATAGTGATGTGGTGCGCTGTGCTATGCTGCTACCGGCTTTGTATGAATAACGACCCCCCCC